AATTAGGCCTGAAATTAAATAAATTCCCTATGCTATAAGTAAAAAATGCCTATGTTGGTGCAAGAAGAAAACTCAGTTAATTACTAACACGTATTTCTCAACATGAACCTCTGTGACTCAGCTACATGATTAGTAATGCTACGAGTAAATTAAGTACTCGGAGAAAACAATTCCACGATTTGTCACATTCATCACAAATATGAAGGTGCAGATGGTTAATAATTCAAAAACATAATGATTTTAATTATAGTCTTTTGCACTGAAAACCTAAAATACTGCAGTACTTGCCAGTATGAAAGTGTGTATCAAAATGTATCATGAAAGTGATCAAATGTGTCTGGTGAATTTAATTTGATTGTAAATGATTATAAAAGAGACTTTTATGGTATTTAAGGTTGCTAACTGTTAACTGCTAACTGTGTTATTCTTTTTGTCATCAGCACTAAATGGTTCATTAATGAATTTAAATATTTACCATTATCCATTATGTGTTTTAATATCAACTAAACCGACCATGTAACCACATCTTCTCCTACATTTCTCCGCTCTCATCCCTGCCCTTGAGTCTCAGAGGGATGGAGCCACAGTAGTAGGTAGTGATATTATCATTCATCCTGTAGCTGTCAAAACATATCAGCACAAGCCCTGGTTTGTGGATGACAGGATGCAGTGCATGTTTTGATACAGGACCCTGGAAGAATGATAACCTATGGAACTGTAGCATCCATACTGGTGACACATAATTATGATGGATGCTCTGCAGTCGAAAACTCTGATGGAATTATGTTTTGTTTTCTGCACAGTGCAACAGCTGGACAAAAGTGTTTATCAACAAAGACATCAGTCTTCTCTCTGTCTCTCTCACATGTCAAGCTAAAAGGAAATGGAAAATATTACAACATTACTGATTTTTTTTTCTCATACATTGTCCAGTTGCAATACACGTGTCATCTGTTTGAAATGCTTTTTAATCCAAGGATGAAGCTTTGTTGCATCACCCCGTCAGTAGGAGGGGCAATTACTTGGTTCGTTGATGCATAAAAGAGACAAGCATTTTTATCTAAAGTCTCCATTTCTTCTCAGTACTTCCATTATCGATGTACTGCCACATGGCCGGCGTTTCCTCGATGCATTTTTAAAATGTACAGAAGAAACTGGATTAGAGAGGTTCGTATAAATCCTGTGAATAATTCAAACTGAAGTCAGAGTGAATCAGAGATCTTCAGTCTTCACTTTCTACACCCTCAGAGAAACCTTATAGCCTATAGCATCCGGTGGTGCATGGAAAGACCATCATTACAGCTGTACTGTAGGTCTGAGATGAAAAATGACTGACAGAGGCTGGACTGACATTTGGAAAAGGGCCACAGCATCAGTCATAATTCAGAGCCAGTCCTCAATCAGTCAGCTATGGCGTAGGCCTTGACAAAACAAAGACGTTACCATGCATTATAGCAGCAAATACCTCACTTTATTTTTCATTTAAAAGTAGTACAGATACGTCGTCAATGTTTACCACCCTGCACTGATAACAAGCAGTTATTAACACTTTTATATGCATTTATATAACCTGCAGCTATAATGGTGAGCAGACCATTTATCAAAGCAATGAATCATCAGTCCTGTAAAAAAAAAGAACCCTCAGCCATAGAGGTAAACATCGGTCTTTTCAGCTCCCATTTATCACAGTTAAACAGACTCTAAAGCACAAATGTAAGGCTGTTGATATTACACTGTGTACAATTAGAATAAATATTCATGAGAACGGACAACAGAATTCATGCATGGTTGATGTAGTTCTCAGTATATTGTCAGCAATTTTGTACAGTCACAGTCACGTTGTGACAATGTTGGAAGTGTCCAAAGTGCACAGAGTAAGCAGAGCAAACCCCAAACCACTTTGTCAGCGTGTGCATCTGGATTTCAATCCACTGGCTCAGCGTGATATTATTGGGGGTGTTCATAGTTTCACAGAAGCTGCCGTTGCACATGATAGCACCCCAGCAGCGTCTGCCTTTTTTTTTCTGCTACTAACTGCAGTTTTCCATTGGGGTCAGTGTTGTTGGATGGGTTTCTTCTCTAGTTGTTTTACAGATTTCCATCAAAAGTAAGTTATAATCAGGTGCTGTTGACCTTTATGGGAAACCTGCATTTTGTGTTTTGTATCAGTCTTGATTTCAAGTGTTATTGTCTGGCAGTGACATTTAATCACAGACACTTTATATCAATGGCCTCATCTCACGTTAACGTGACTTTTGGAAGTTCTATTTTCAGAAACAAGCTATTATAATACAGACAATTAGAACACCTCTGAACTCACATTTGCACCATTGTTAGCTGCAGACATCTGTCATGTTATAGTGCCAGCAGGAACATATCAGTTGCATAGCAACGTAAAGTCTGATTGATGGAGATGTGAAAATGTACACAATAACAAAAATGAGAATGTAAATTCCAACCAACCACATTTAAATCTTACAAGTGTGATCAGCATGTGCCAATTGCACAGGCTTTGTATAATGTCATATTGAAATATAATTTGTTAATTAATTAAAACTGTTTTTTTTAAAGCTCCACCTCTTTCAGCTGCTCAGCCTAAAGAATTAGATGGTCTTAAGAAAATGATAAAGAAGCTCTGAATGGATATTGACTGTGCATCCAATCAATGATGAAGGCTAAAGAGTTTCCTGTGTTGTTCATTAAAAACAGCCAGAAGTTAAAAGCATTATGATTGATTCGAGCTTTTGTCTCGATGTCTTTGACTGATTAACCCAAAAACTATTGTGACAATAATTTCACCCGCAGATGATATATGTGACTTTCTTACATAGAATTATAATTCATATCTCCAGTATTGTGTAGGTCAGCGGTCCCCAACCTTTTTTGTACCAAGAACCGAAATCAGCCGTTACTACGGACCAGTAATACCATGCCATCGATAAAGGATCTTTTAGACTTTATTCTTTTAGTATCAGAGTCTGAATGTTGTTTTGAAACATTACCAAATTAACTTTTAATGAAGAAAGTAAAGAAAAAAAAAATTAAATCCCAGTTGCACAGAAGTTTTAATTTGATTTTAATAAATGTGGCTTCGGAAAGGACAAACCAGAGCTGGTGGTTTCTATGGGGATCACAAAATCGAATTACTTGATTCACATGAATATCACTAAGTTCAATCGCACTTTCATTCCAATTAGTTTACACGTTAATGATGAGGGGCTCGGAGTTTATTGCTTTGGGTTTCAGTGTGTGAGTCAGGCAGTGTCAGAAGAGTCCTTCAACCCATTGTAATCGTGTAAGTTTCATTAGGAAATAAAAAAAACAAAACAGCGTCATTAAAGGTCAAACACGGTGATTACTGACTCTTTCTTTTGTCTTTTGCTCTTTCCAGCTCAGACTGCAGGGTTTCATTTTTGTCCCACCAGAATTACACATAGACAAACATGAATCTAAATGTAATTTCAGATATGTGACATCGCTTTTTAAATGTAGGCTGACTATATGTAAATTATTGCTTTTTTGTCTTGTAACAAATGGATTAGTGAGCTGTGTTAACCATCAAGCAGACGCAGAGTGATTTTTTTTATTATATACTTTAAAGCAGGGCTGCCCAGTAAGTAGATGGGGATCTACCATTAGATCATGAAGTAAAATGAAAATTCAGTGGAGCACACATGGACTCTTCAGATGAACCCAACTTGGTTCCACTTTTTAAGTGCTGAAAAGTGACGGCTCTGCTGAATGTCATTGAACAACGCGGAGGAAGCAGCTGATAAACACCAGTACGACCCCGTCTCTGCTCATAAATGACGTACGCCCAATTAAGAGCTTCCTCTTCCCTCGCGTGGCGGACGTGGTATAGTCTGTGAACTGTTTAAACTAAAGGCTATAAAAACACTAACATGAAGGCAGCACCTGGATCTCTGCTAAGATGTGTTCCTGTTTCCTTTAATATTAGCCGCCTGCAGAAACGTATGCACTTCCGCTCGGCGCTGGACAAAGTTCTAGACAGGCTCAATAGCCATTATCAGACTTTCCAAGCAGTGCAGCTCTGCACGTGTCTGTCCCCTTCCCCCGGAAGAGTCTGCTGTGTTTGTGTCAGCGCTAGTGAATAAAAGAGAAGCTGTAGGTTGGTGTTTACTATAAGATTTAAAAAACTGGTATGAATATCAACCACAGGAAAACCACGACTGAATATTTGATAGAAACTAGTTGTAGCTCACGGAGGAAGATAACATTGTTTGTCGTCCCTGATAATCTGTTAAAATAGCATTAGGTACAGGAATAAGAACAGGCGTTTTTAGGGCTTTATCAAACCTCATGGACAAATCTGAGCAAGAATGTTCACCTAAAACAATGGGTCCATGACTCAGGCTTCTAAATATAATAAGAAAAAAATATCTGGGCACAATCCCTGTTCGTGTGTGTGCAAGTAATTTTCTCAAGAGTAAAGGTCAGTGGACAAAAGCTGCACGGAGGGGAAACACCTGTTCTCAGCATACAACGCACATATTTCATCACGGCACCAGGAGGAAAGTCATTACCTGGGTCGGTACGAGCACATTTTCTGGCAATTGCAAGTGTTTGAGTTCATCATGAAAGTCTCAAGTCTGTATCCCAAGTAAGTCTGAAACATAGAGAATAAAATGATAATAAAAAAAATTACATTGACTATAAAAGTTTTTTTTCGAGATTATAAATTTGAATTTTCATCCTTTAGCTGGGTTTGCGGCTTTTACTCAGGTGCGACTTATATAATAAAATCTATAATTTCACGTTTGTTATTTTCACACTGACAGCCACTAGAGGGCACTCTAGGATTGTGTACCAGCATTTGCTCCTCTTGTATCACTGAAAATTTGCATGTTCATTATTTTCACACTGGTAGAGGGCACTGGTGCGACTTTAACTGCGGAGTGAGTAATTAATTAGCAAGAAAATACGTATACGTATCATATTGAATTGATTTAAAGAAAAAGAAAGAAAGAAAGAAATGCGAGAAACACCCTCCTGCTCAAGGTGAGAATTTAAGAGCCTTCAAAAGAAATTGAAGCATTTTTATTATTGGTCTCAGGCTCAATGTTGGCTCAGGGCGCTGGTTGAACACAACATTTCCCGCTGTGAATGAGGTGAACTTGTTCAATAAATAATTCCTCATTCTTGAATGGCTTCTGCCATTCACAGCACCCTCTGCTTGTTTAACTGCTACTGCAATAGATTGTTTGCTAGAGGGCTGCGTGGTGGAAAGGATGATGTGGTGTAAATGGATTTCTTTAAACTCTTCCTCTGCTGCTGTCGCTGTGTTTACAAACCACCCCTGAGTTTAGTTATTGAGCAGACAATGTAAAAATCTACCACAGTACACCAACCACCAATGAGTATACCTTAAATCACCTTGAAGGTCAATTAAATCCTTAATGAGTAATTATTCAAGGAAGAGGTAATGAAGGCCTTCAGAGTATATACTTTGTTTACCACAGGATATTTGCTGGTATTCAATTATGCCGTAGTGGAAAACAGGAAGCTTTAAAACCTCAAGACCCGTCAGGTTCCCACATAAATGAATTGTAACGGGGAGACAACCAGGCGGCCGCAGCTCCTGTGGTCCACGCGTCCAATTTAAAACGAAGAAGTCGTGCCATGTTTTCAAAAGGTTTTCTGAACTGTGATTACCACTCTGTGAAACTTGTTTCCAGTAGACGGCCGTGGACGTGGCCGCCTCACAGTGGGAGGTAAGATTAGCCTCCCTCTCCCCACAGCTTTCATCAGTGCCCCCTGAAAGAGACTGGACGGCCGCTGCTTTCTTCTCTCTACAGTGGAC